TGTCGATACAATTTAATTGTTTCAGATTGGAGGCCATAACTTCAACAATTTGTAACCTAGGAGAAAAGTTATTGTAAGCTTTTTTGTTTAAAATTTGATGCTTTAACAGAAAAAAATATAATATACAGGGGTTTCCATTTAAAAAAATGTTATTTTACTGAAAAAAATCAAAATAACGACTCTCAATTGTTTTTTTTATTTCTCATTTTTACCATCGTTAAAAATGCTACTAGTTTGCTAATTCAAACAACTTCGTATTTTCACTAATAACAAAGTTACTAATGGTGGACACTTAATTTGGATAACCCTGTATATACATATATTATATATATTTTGTGGTGGTTCATAAAATATATTGATATACTTGACTGCAAAACAGGAAAATGAGTCCTTCGCGACTTTCCTAGAGAGATCCATATTAATTTTTTAACAACTTTCGTTAAATATTTTTCAAATCAACATGCACCTCAAAAATACGTGGTTAATACGAGAAAGCATTTTGCAGCTGACAAAGTGAAATAAAAGGTACATTTTCCAGAAAAGCGCAGTTGTGCTACTTTCAAGTTTTTTAACGGGTAAACAGCGTTTTCTGTATTCTTCTATTCTATTCTTCTATATTCACCATTTGTCTAAGAATATCTATTAAACTTGTATATCGGCTATTTTCGAGAGTTAGGTTTTGAATTTTTTTGGTCAGGTTTGTGAATTTAATGAGAGAAGACGTACCTACTACTTATTAAAACACAATTGCAATACTTTGAATTATTTAACGTCAAAGTCACAGCCTCCTTAGATGGAATAAATAATAGTTTAAGAGAAAATAAAAGAAACATGCTTTTATGTCTAACAGAACTAAAAAGTATAAAATGATTTTTAATTACAAAGAGTTTATATTGCAGTGATAGATGAACAATCATCAATCAATTATATTAAATAACCTCAAAGTAAAATATAATAAATTTTACATTAAATGTTAGAATCATTCTATTGACAACTATCTATGAGAGGCGAGTTATGAAAATGAAGTAAAATGCACCCCACGCTTTTTACTCTAAATTTAGTTATTCTGTCTATAACATAATTATATTATAATTTAATTAATAAAAACTATTTGTAAGCAAACATTATTTTGTAATTAGTTGGGTTAGCTATAAAAGCGTGCTTTCTTAGTTTTTTTAAACTATTATTCATTTTTCATTTTTTAGTCCGATTTATCAATTAGTTTTGTGTGGGCGTATTGAAATGTCTTACGAATAATTTCGTAATCTAATTATTTAATTTTTTTTAAGTTCTTACTATATACATTAGGTTAAGCATATCCAAGCATGCAGCAGCTAAAGCAAATGAACTTCCTAATATGACATTCTCTGATTCGTCGCACACCCGATTATGACGATTGTATATGTACCTATGATGACAATTATACTGATGTAGATAGACCGAATGTTGGCGAGACATCTCAAAACGCACAGGCTTTGCCTTCTGTGGGTATCTCATATTTATTATTGTATGCTTTTTATTTCACCTGTAACATTTGTAATTGAATTGAAAGCAAATAGATATTATTATTATTATTTGAAGCTTCACTGTTAACTTAGAGCAATAAAGTTCTTCAATCCAAATACTGTCAAAAGATCTTACACGACTAAGAGCTACATAAGCTTGTCAAGCAGCAAACAATCGCGAGCCTAGATAAATGACTGCATGATCGACTGTACGATCTTGCATCTTGTGGACGGCCGAAGCCCAACTCAGGATCAATGGCGGCATTCGCAATGAACAAGGTAAGAATTCACTACCTTGAAGAAGAATCTACCGCCGTTGTGCTGTGTCGAATGTCCGAACCAACAAAGAGTAAGTCCGCGCAGATCGCGCGCTAGCTGTATCTCCCTTACTCCCCTACAGAGAATCTCTAAAGGAGTTTATTAACCCTGGCGGTCCTAATAAGGATACTGGAAAACTGTTATCAAATTATTGCATTGTCAACTGTCCTTGATACGTGTGCGAAGCTTCAAATTAATTACATACATACATACATACTCGTATATACAGGCCTAGCTATTAAAAGCGTATTAAAAATACGTTATTTATTAATTTTACTTTCTGACAAATAAAATATGGCCTCTTTAGGAAAAAAATAAACATTACGTGTGACAATATTTTGATGATACTTCAATCTGTTATGCACTAGGCTGGAAATTTTACGCTCTGTTCAAAAATCCAATCTAGCGGCCATAAGAAAAATGAAAGTGGAGGCAGATTGCTGGAAAACAAAAGACGTTTGAGACATGTCATAGACGTTATCCTATTTGACTTAAAAAAATGTCCGAATAATCGTTTCGGATTTTCGGTTTTTCGCCGATATTTCCTAAACCAATTGACCGATCATAAATCTGAAGCCGGCTATCGAATGCACTAAGTTTCCTCTAAAACCTTCCCCATGTAGCCTTTGCTGTAGGTATAACAGGAGCCGAGATCTCTGTATAGAAAAGCGAATCTGGGACACACTGTACAGCAACTTAGCCTGTCCTACTGCAACCACATTCATTGTAGGTCAAGTTGACAAAACTAAAGCCACGAAGCTTTGCATTCTAACAGGACACTATGGAACTGGATAACAACATTTGGTAAGCTGTTCAAAATGTGACACGCTTAAGCCGAAAAAGACAGAAAAGTGGTGGAAAGTTTGACCGAGAGGGCACGGCCTTGTGTAGCCTCCAGAATCCGGAATCTATATAATATCATGCTTCACACATGACTCGCAGTCAGTCAGTCTTACTCGTAAGCCAGCCACCATTTTAACTATTTTTTGTTATAGAACTTTGCTAACTACTGACTACACAGGACAACATTAGATCTAAGAGTAGCCACAGCACTTCATCTAGTTTGTGCCGTCGTCTAGCTCAATGCTGTGGTCGATTTACCTCTATCACGAGAAGAGGTTTAAAAACAATGTATTGTTTCGTTCGGAGAGGTCACCCAGTTTTACCCTGGTTATCCTCAATTTAAACTTTAAATAACATCCCGATGACCTCTCCGGTAAAGACGACCGTCAGTTTGAATTCAGCTACACAGAATCGAGATGTGGATGTTTTTAGGTGAATTCAAACATAGTTATCCCTTGAAGTAATCCTAATGTGTCTTTCAAATAACTTCTGGATGACCTCACCGGGTAAAACAAATATATTCAGCTTCAGCCACCTCGAAGATGTTCATGTGGATGTTTTCAACTTGCTTAAAACACTTTGAAATAACCCTGTCTTCAAAATAACGTCAGCTTGTTCTTGAATCAACCTCTGAGTAATATCTCCACGCAAAAAAACGCTTCCAGATTCAGATTAAGTAACCCAAAGAACTGTAGTGCAATTTTTTCAAAATCCTTCACGCAAATTTTATAAATTTGACTTTGAAACGACCTTGGTATGGGTTGGTCTACCTCGGCATCAATACCAGTGGCCCTAAAAACCCTAAGATACCCCTATGTGGTCCAAATTAACTGTTAACCTGTGTTATCTGCCGATTTCAGGTTTAAATGTGATTGTCATCGCTGTAGGTGTCAAACAGTTTTCCGTCGTCTGAGGCGGGACCACTGCGTCAAAGTTCTTGAGTGCATGGACGCAAAGTCTCCCGGTGCCCAGTATTTCGGATCAAATTTCGTGAGAGACAAAGTATAAAGTATCTTGACATTTGTAGGTTATTTGAAGCTCCGCCACTGACGTTGAGGAGGTTATAGTAGCGCTTTTGCTGGATGCTTCCATTTGATCGCTATTTATGTGTGCCTTCTACACCAGTTACCTGTTTTTGTGCATAAAATGAATTCTGAGCCTAAGGATAAAAAGCACTTACCACGATATGGAAAAGTTTAAGCATTCACTCTTCTGGTGTATTAAACAAGATTTCAGCGCTACTATACTTTTTGCTACATTTCCGGGCGGCTTGCAAAGCTATCTCTATGTTGATGCTTCAGAATCGAACCAAAACGGAGTTTATGCCCAATAAATCCCTTATCGGCGGTGATCACGAATACTACTTAAATAATATGAATAAGGAAATATGTCAAAGTTAAGTATTGAGGTAAGCATAATATACTTACTTTGCATTCAAATTCTCACATGGATCATCATGATACATGATACACCACTGTATCCATAATTGATTTCTCTGAGAGTTTTTGTGCATACTGCATCTACATTTGAATTACGTTACACTGATGATTATCACGTAACCAGATACACGTGTCTATATTTTTAATAGGTGAGACTACAGTTACTGGAAAGGAATGCTGTCTATTCCATTGACTTGGCTCGTAATCAAGATATCCTAGATATACTACATAGATTCTTATACGTGTACTTCGTATATTCAATTGTTAAGATTCCCGCGCACCAAAAATAGCTAGTTATGTGAAGTAAAATTAATCAATGCTTAATGCAAACAATTTTGAATATGGTGCTGAGTTCTACCACCTAATTCATTATTGCCAAAATTACAGACTTCAATATAAAGTTGTCGCTGATCAGCTGTCCACCTCAACAGACGTCAAAGCGTAATGAATACTCGTGGTAAATTGTTTACAAATAAATTTGATTAAGAGACGGATTATACAGGGTACCCTATAAAACCATGCCAATGACTTGGATGCATATAGAACACAAATAATGTCGAAGTTTCTTACAATACAACTGCCCACGGTGGATATATACAGAAGCCCAGGCACCAAAGAACTTTTTCTTGTATAACTCTTGAACGGCAATGTACAATTTAACGACGTTTTGAAAGCTTGGTATTCAATTGATATCTCACAAAATTATTTACGTAGAAAACAACTGTTACAGGCAACAAGTGTTTCCTGAGGGTAAACTTCCAAAAGTTTACTTGACTATACACTGTAGTGACTTTTAGCATTTTACACACTCTTTCATAAACTAGTTCAGCTATGCTACATAATAATATCCTGCCCTCCAGAAAAGAAAAAATAAAAAGTACGCAATTCCAATCACCACAATGTAAACCTTCCATACAGTGTTGTTGGATAAACATTTTTGTTTATTTTATCAACTGGAATATTGAGAGAATTCAATTAAACAAGGTACAACGGCGAATGGCCAACATATGAAACGAAAAATATATAGCAAGCACAAAGCAACAATAAATAAATCATACCATGGCTTTTAAAATGTGCAATGAATTGAACTATAGAGCTAAACAAATATGGCAGAAATTTCAATATAGTAAAGAGTATATAGATGAATTTGTCACAACCATGTTTCTCCTCTCCGCGATATCAGTATATCGCATATATTTGCGTTAGTGCCACCTATCACTAAGCTTTCCAATACTCCCCCATGCTTGTGTGGCCAGTAAAGCCACATGTCTGGGCAGATCTTAGTTACTGTAGTAACCGTTTCAAGCACGTATATTTGATTTACTTGTCTTACAGGTGACAGCTCGTTTGTTTTTTCTTTTCATTACCAGACTCCTTTACAGTGTATTACTACAATAGTCCAAAAGTCCCGTAACATGCTGAGATTGAACGAAGCCATTCCGAATTTTAAGATGGCACCACGCAGAACGAGCTTATCCCAAGACTGCTTGGGGTAGGCACTCCCGTTTCAAAAAAAAAAACGTTAAGCCCTCCGAAATGGCAAGCCAGTTTGTCTGTCGTGTTTTAAGGTACCAGATACGTCACCCTCGTCCATCGCCCGAAAACACTAAAGGCACTCTAAAAAATGCAAAAAACCCCCAGAACTGTTGTCACAATACACGTTTGAAACGCGAGAAATACTACTTGAACATCAAAGGGACCATGTTCTTTGTTCTGTGAGGAAATAATATAAGACACCACCGTTTGGCCTTGAGATGGCGAAGCAGAACATCTGAACGCTTGACACCCAATTACAAACTACGAGCAAAAAGCTGGAAAAGAAAATCATGAGCATTAGTTAGGTTGGAGAATATCAACTAGATATTGTTCATGAATAGTAAGTAGTATTTTTCTAGTTTCAGGTGCAAAATAATGGACTTTCAACATTTTAGCCGAAAATCGCATAAGAATTAACCAGTGTGTTGCGACAACTGTTCTGGATGGATCTTTGCATTTTGGATGGCTTTTGGTGCTTATAGCCGATAACCTCATACCCGCCTATTGTTCTGAATGGCTGCACGCCCTTTCTTTGGGAACGAGAATACCTTCGCCAGGCGATCCTGGGCTATGCTGGATTTAAGTGCTGCTATCTTTAAATTCGGAATGACTACTTCGCGCAATCTCGGCACGGGGCTCTCAGACTATTTTAGTAACATATTGTGTAGAAAGGCGATAATTAAAAGACACCCACTTTCACCTGGAAGACATACAAATTAAATATATTAGCATTGTACTGAAGAAGATCACCTTTGTTACCTACCACAGTCAAGAAAATTTGCCATTACGTGTAGTTTTATTGGCAAGACAAGCACGGGAACTATCGACACGTAAGGAGAAGGTCAAGCGGAGAAAAGTACTTCTTAACCCTAAACAAATAGCCTAGATTTTTCCTAACAGCTGCCGCTATTGACGAGATGTGTTCATGCCAGTTCAATTCCCGCTGATCTGAACTCCGATCGTTAGGACGCCTTTTGCTCGTCAAGGTACAGTACAGTACAAGATTGTTTCGTCTCCAACCAGTGATAACCTCCAAGTCTCTCATCGGAGAGGAAGTCGTCGCTAGTCTTCTTTTTTCAAGCTCACCGGCAGATATCTGCTTGTCACTGTCCTGCATGTAGATTGCTGTCGTTAGCGAAGCTGTGGCTTATGTTGATCGTACAAGAAATAAGGTCATTTATATGCAAGGGAAACAGTGTCGGAGCCAAGATCGATCCATGGGGAACATCCGCGTTCACGTTGTGGAATGAAGACGAGAACCCGTCAATTACGACTGATATCTTGCGGCCAGAGAGAAAGTCAGTCACCCATCTGCAAAGATTTTTTCGAAGGCCATAGGAAGGAAGTTTTGCTTAAGAGGGTAGCGTGCCACATCTGATCGAACGCTTTCGTTATATCATGGGCCTCACCATAAGACTGGATGAGCTTACTCCACAGTTGCGTGACGTAAACTAGGAGGTCCCCTGTGAATCGCTGGTGCCGGAAGTCATACTGCCTGTCGCTAGTCAAGCCACGACGTTGGAGGTAGCTCAGAAGCTCGCGATGTATGCACCTCTCCATCACGTAACCTATATCTGAAAGCAGAGCTATAGGCCTGTAGTTGTAAGGGTCGACCTTAAACCCTTTTTTTGGGATGTATTCCTCCAGATAATTTCAGATGTCGAAGAGCAGGCAGCCTACCTTGTCCGCGTCAGCGAAACAAACATCTCTCCAAAGAAGGGTAGAGAAGGAATCTCTGAGCCCCTCCCAGACGGCATGTCCGTCATGCCAAATTTTGAGGCGTGGGCGAGTTTCTGCTGCCATAGCGGGTTCTGACCACAACCTATCCTACACAGCACCATGATCTGAGTTACCCAGGGGCAGGACAATAGTGTTAGTATAAGGGACATGATGCGTGGTCAAACAGAGATCCAACAGGCTACTGGCATGAGACGAGACGCAGGGGAAAAAGTAGGGCTCGTCACCAGCTTTGTCAGCCCTTGAGTAAGGGATAACGCTTCAACCGCACGACTTGCTGCATGGGTCTTGTTTGAGCCCAGCCGAAGGTCATTATGGGCATTAAAAATTAAAATCACCGATGAAAACTACCTCTGAAGCGGGGTGATTGATGTCAAGAAAGTCGATCTTGATAGCGAGGTATTCAAGTAGGCCATCCCAGTTGTGGTCCGAATCTAAGGGATGTTTTGGAGTTGAGTCAAAGGCACAGAATATCCTTCCGGTCTGATTCCAAAGAAACGTATCTGGAGCAAGAAAGACTGCTGCGGACAAAAGTCACAACTCCGCCGTTCTTTCTCAGATTGGAGTGCACCTCGTAATTTAATTAGTTTATTTGTATTTCCGACTGCATAGCTTGAGTGTGGAAACATGTGGATACTTACGAGTATAAGACAGCTTGGGAAAAGCTAGCGGGTGGTACCACCTCGGTCGACTGGTCCTTGTCTACCACCTTCTTTTTTCGTGTTAGTGACGTTAAATAGACCTAATGTGGCCCGTTGGTGGACCTGTACCGCCACCCGGCAATCGGTACTGAGGTATTCCTTAACGCGTGCTCAATCACTTGAACGGGAAGAAGTTCTATATTGAATACAACAATTTCCGGAACAAGAATTTACCACGGCCCCGCTCAGTAGGGGTAGGAGTTGTGTTAGAAGTATGTTTAGAAAGTAAGCTGAAGCGACGGCTCTTTATCATTCAATTCACTTATGTTTGTGCAAGAGCGAAATTTCCCTTATGTTAGTCAAGCGGTATCATGTCAACATGAAAGTCTCTTACTTCGTATAGCAAACAACAATACTTATCTAAGCAGTAAGTCAGCCACTCTGTCAGATACATTTTGGGAGTAAAACGTACTCACAGCGTATGCAGAGTCTAAAAGTAGAATCTGTCTCCGTAAGGATACTTTGACACTCAAGACGCACCTCTATATCTTTGATAAAACACCAGAACATAAATACGATATTTCACAAATTTCTTATTAAGGAAGTATAGCATAGCAAAATGAATTCAACCTGGCTGTCGACCCTTAGATTGTATTTTAGGGCTAGTTAAAATTCCACCGGCAGTTTAATCCATGAAGCTTGCGGTCGGGATAATGCAACTTTTCTAATAGAATTATAATTTGGACCGACAACTTTTTTAATAAGATTAAAGCACAGGAGGCTACGGACGTGGAGGCGGCGGGTCCAAGCGGGATATCCGCAGAAAACATCGTGGCGGACCCTGCGATGGATCTGGTCCCAGAGGAAAACGATAGCGACTCGGACGAGGATGGAATCCTGAACCGAGTCCGAGAACTCCTCCGTGGAAGCGGAGATGAAGGCGGCTGCGGCAGCGATGACTGCGGCGGCGACGGCGGTACGCCCGAATAGGGGTTACATACCGTCATTCGGGAAGGTGTAGGAAGGGCCTCTCAACATCCATGGTAAGTTTCAATTTCATCCAAATTAACTTACAACACTGCATAGCGGCTTCGAGGGCCCTTACTCAGGAGATCACTCGAGGCCGACATGACGTGGCTCTCATCCAGGAACCCTGGCTGAGAAACGGTTCAGTAAACGGGCTTAGTATACCAGGCTATACGCTTTTTAGCGATACTCCGGACACTAAGCCCAGAGCTTGCGTAATGACTTCCGTCAACTCATGGCAACTTAAAGAATTTACATTTAGAGACTTAGTTGCAGTCAGAATTAGATATAAGAAGGAAGGCAGTGACAGGGACTTGGTTGTCTGTTCGGCTTACCTTCCTTACGATTCAAGAGACCCTCCTCCGTCTAAGGAAATGGGGGACCTTGTCGCATTCTGTAGGGATTCTGGACTCGACCTTGTGATTGGATGCGACAGTAATGCCCATCACGTTGCGTGGGGCAGCTCGAACACCAACAGACGAGGCGAAGACCTGATGGAGTTTCTTGGGGCATCGAACCTTGAGGTTCTGAATGTCGGTAACATGCCCACTTTCAGCAATAGTGTAAGAGAAGAGGTTATCGACGTAACACTGAGCACGCTTAACTTAGCTCAGGACATCAGGGACTGGAAAGTGTCTCTAACACCCTCTCTATCGGATCACAGGTATATACTGTTCAAGACTGATGGAGAGATTCCGGATAAATATGCTCGGAATCCCAGGCATACTAGATGGGGGTCCTTTAGGGCAGACATTGACAGTAAGCTTGGAGCGGTCCCATACAGGCTTGGCAGGGGCTCTGACATAGAAGCAGCTGTCGAGTCTCTGAGCAGGGACTTGACGGCCGCATATGAGGAAAACTGCCCGTTACGCAAAGTACAAGGTAAGGGCAAGGCAACCTTCTGGACCAAAGATTTAGAGGATAGAAAACGAGCGGTGCACAAACTTCTTAGCAGAGTTAAGCACAGGAGAGGTTCTCCTCTATGGGAAGAATAC